ATTCCTGAGACTTGTATCTGGCTCCAGAATCAGAAGAAATTATAAGACAAAACTGAGGACAACAGCACTACATGCACTGTGCAGCACCAATGAGCCCTGCCAAACACAGCCACTTTGTTCGTCAACCCCCAGGTCCTTGGCCCTTTTCTAGGCTCACTAATTAGAAAGCAAACCCTTTACTACCATAAACTCATCTGAATAATGGAGGGAAAATAGGACTCAAATCAAGATATATCATTTGTGGTTCAAGAGAAGGGAACCAGAGTATGAGAAAATGATGTTTCTATCTAAGGCCTCCTCTCCTCGCTTTTCAGTCAGGATAAGAAATGTAGTATTCTGCTATTGTGTTTTTCTTGGAAAGCCTTCTCAATAAATTGGGAGGTAAATTTTACAACTTGAAGGCAACTGCCTGTCGCCCTCTCTTGCCCTGCTTCAGCTCTGTCCAGACACCTCTTAGAAAAGGACATTCTGCCACGCAACCCCATAACTTTGTAATTCTCTGAAATGCAGTCTCTATAGACTGAGGTGCGGGCTGCAAGTCAAAGAACAGATGTTCAAGCTCAGGCCCAGGGCTAGTCTCAGACTGGTTATCTGTAAAGCAATGTTGTAATGTGCTCCTGGGACACCCGGCAGATGTTTTTTGGAACTGGCACAAAGCTCTTTGTGGAGCCCCGTAAGTTGACTTTTTTTCTATGTTTCTGTGGATAATTTGAGCCCTGAGACTAGAGCTAGCACCCAGTTTATATTATAAATTATCACTAGTAGATTCACTTAACGTATCAGAGATAGAGTGGAGCAGATGAAAGTGAGCCAGGGTGAGGACAACGAACTGAGAACTTGCGTCCATAACTATTTTTATTTTAATATATAGATACTAAAACTCTAGTCCTCGTTTATTTCTTAAATCTTCAGATCAACCTAGAAAACAGAGGAACCTTTAATAAATGTTATCAGTGGGAGGAAGGGAGGCTGTCATGGGGCACTTGGGCTCAAACTCCCCAGGAAATGGTTTGCTTCCTGCACATTCCTTTAGCTAAGCTGACTAATCAACATGCCTCCCTACAGAGCACAAATATCCTGCACCTAGGAAGGCTTTGGAGACAGGTTGTTAACCAGGTAAGAATAACCAGGGAGAGCGAACTTTAAGATTTCAGTGAAATCCCAGACTAGCAAAGAGCCTTGAAATTCTGAGTGGCAGTATTATAGATGTCACAACTCTTAAAGAACCAATAGGATGCTCTGTCCAGTTCTACAGTGGATGATAGCTAAGTCTGTAAGTCATAAAGAGCATTTGGGGAGGGCGTTCCCTCATCATTTCTGCTGTTTGCCAGCATGTAATTTTAACACTGTATAAGTGCTCATAAGAGAATGTCTGAAAATAAAATAGTATTGTCCAAGTAAATACACTTGAAGGAAAGTGCTGAAATATAGTCATATTCGTGGAATAATAAGAGACTGCTCTCAAAAGATAAACAATGAATCTTCCATTTAAGTGTTATCTTCAAATATTTGTTTAAATCAAACACAAAATAGACTAAGTCCATATGACAGCTACATGGAGTATATCCTACTTATTTAAAAACAAGGGTCAACTCAAACCAGGTAGCTGTTTTCTTTAGTTACCATGCCAATCAAAAGCCAATGAATTGATTGAATAAACTTTTCTTTCAATTGTAAGGATATGGATCTTAACCTATGGAGAGAGACTGAGAAAACCTTTTACTAAATCAATGCACTTTGTTCAATTTGAAGCCCCAATAAATACATTCAGTTTTCAGAATGTGTATGCATAGATGTCTTCGGACATCCACCTCATCATCTATATTATCATATTCATGTTATTCAGAAGTAATCTCCCTAACCCAAAGTGTTAATTGATGATAACTTCTTGAGGCACATAGATTTTAAAATCCCGCAAAAGCAGCTGGGCCCAGCAGCACACACCAATAATATTAGCACTTGGCAAGCTGAGGCAGGAAGATTGAGTATGCCTTAACTACTTAGAGAGATCCTATCTCAAACAGCAAAAATCCAACCAAGCCTTCACTGTTCAACTTATTCAAATTGAGTAGTACTGACAAGATGGGTTTGAGTTTGCTTTAGTTAGTTTGATTTTTTTATTGAATAAATTTGTAACTCCTAACTCTCTTGAAAATCAACCACAATACATCTCAAGTCACAAACAGAATAATGAACAAGAAATACCATGCTCCTGCAAAGAGACAAGTAATGAAAACTTGTGGTTTTCAGCCGTTAGTGCTGGGGTTATCAGTTCCACTATCAGCGACTTCAGTGTGTAAGGAAAAGAAAAAAGCAAAGGTTTTCTCGTGAGGGTTGAGAGTGGATAATTCTAAGAAACTCTTTGGAAAAAAAAGAAAAACAGAAACCAAATCTTGTCTAGTACTAAAGCCCAAATAATCAAAATCTTGGCAATTTGTCTCCTGCCCTGGGTGCTAAAACAGATCCCAATCTTTCACTTCAGCTTCTTGGTGGAGAGAAAAAAAGAAAATGTGGAACCATGATGTAGTCATGAGGAAGCCTTCTCTGGACAGCTTGTTCTTTTGAGATATCCCTGATCTGCCATGATCTAACTATGCTGTGGAGATCAGCAGGCACCTTCTCACTAATAGTCACTCCTCTCAACCAATTGGGCCAAGGGATTTAGTTGTGGCTTTACTACCATGGACTCCATTGCTAAAACTCAAACCCAGACTCTGGAAAAAGCATTGGAAAAGTCAATTCGTTTCTATTTGCATATGCACAAACAAGATTTTCTATTTAGAAAGAGACCTGCTATCTTGATCATAACCCATGAGATATTTTTTTAAGTACATTGAAATTCAACATGGTTTTCACTTGACACCAACAACCCCAGCTCTTGGTTAGTAAATACTATGGCTCTGTTCACAAGAGAAATTACTGTTGAAAGTCAGAAAATAATCTTAGGATTAGAAATCTATTCCCAGCTCAGTGGCCATTCCTTATTGTAGGTAGTAACAAGACTCTTTCTTTAGTGATTATTTAAAGATGATGCAAAATCCAAGTCTCTGTGGACACACAGTTCAGAAGCTTTAATAGGCAGTATGAGAGAATCATCACTGTCTTTCTCAAAGCGTTGAGACTTCCGATTTTTAAGGCAAGAAAAAGGTGCATACCGAGAATAATAGTGGGTTGTAGCCAAAGCAAGGTACAGAAGGAGAGGAGGCAGGTAGAGGATCTAATTCTGCCACCAGCATTCATTCCTTGCCCATCTTAGAATAAAACAAGAAATGGGTCTGGCTTGTTTTATGTCTACAAGCACTTTCTGAGGATGACAGTTACCCTCTGATGGTATGTGCTTATAACCCTAGCACTCAGGAGATGAAAACAGAAGAACCACAAGTTCAAGATCACCCCTGACTATACAGCAAGTTCAAAGCCAGTCTGGGATGCATGAGACCCTGTCCCAAAAGAAATGACTCCAAGAAGGTAGCAAATACCTGTAATCTTACCACTTAGGAGGCTGAGTGAAGCAAAAGGATCAAAAGTTTGAATACAGCCTGATGTACACATAAAGACTATCTCAAACAAACATAAATAAACAAAAAATACTTCAACTGTACAGTAGCTAGCCCTTAGGAAAGAATCAATATCCACCCAAATGGAGAGAAATTTCCTTTCAGTGGGATCTCTTTCAGTCTACAAAAATAAGGAAAACACCTTACAATAAGTAATGGGGGATATCCTTCTGTATGCTGTGAATATATGTTTCTCTTTTTGGTTGATGAATAAAGCTGTTTTGACCAATGGACAGGCAAGATGTATCCAGTCAGGAAGTATAAGCAGGGCTACCAGATTAGGAGACTTCTGGAAAGAGGGACACAGAGAGGAGTCAGAGAGAGACGCTGTGTAGCTACCAGGAAGAGAAGATACCTGAGCATTCCCCAGTAAGCCAAGACCATGTGGAAGTACATAGATTGATAGAAATGGGTTAATAATTAAGAGAGAGCTAGCCAATAAGAAACCTGAGCCATTGACCAAGCAGTTTATAGCTAATATAAGCCTTTGTATGTTTATTTGGGACCAAACTGCTGCAGGACCAGGCAGTAAACAGAAACTCCCGTCAACAAATAACTCAAACTGCTACCCTCTGAGTTTGAATTGATTTTGCAGAACTTTCTAGAAATCTGTGTTTTTAACTGACACAATGCAAAATATTAGTCGCTTCCATAATCTCCTCCAAGGGCACTTATATTTAAAACTAACCAACTGACACAGATACATATTTAGCCTAACCTCAGTTTGTATGTGCACATGTACACATGTGTGTGTAGGTGCATGCACACATGAGCACACAGAAGCCAAAGACAACATTGAGTATTGTCCTCAGAAATACTATCTACCTTATTTGAGACAGGGTCTCTTTTTTACTTGGAGTTCACCTATTAGGCTAGACTGGCTGGCCAGCAAGCCCCGAGAATCTCCTGTCTCTGCCTCCCCAGTGATGACATTACAAGCACATGCCACCACGCACGGCATCTTTACGTGGTTCTAGAAATCAAGCTCAGGCCTCATGCTTGCAGACCAAGTACTTCACCAAATGAGCTATCCAGCCTTTTGTGGGTTTGGTTTTGATTTGGCTTGACACAGTTTATCATATAGCCAAGACTGGATTAGTACTCAAGGATAACCTAGAATTCCTTATCCTCCTGCCTCTACCTCCCTGCTGGGATAAGTAGTATACAGCACTATGGTGGGTTTATGCAGTGCCAGGGGTCACACCCAGGACCCTGTTCTAGAAACTTCTTTATAGTCATTATACCCCTTCATGCTTCCAACCCTGTCTCATTTCAGTTAGAAGCCAAACATACTGTCCTTTCTTTCCTCTCACCTTGTCCACACTTCCATGAAACGCTATCAAGGATGAAACTAACAAGGTGTAGAGCATTCTACATTCTAGGCAACACTCATTTAATTCTCATAAGGCTGTAAATTATCATCTTAGTTGATTATATTTTCAGAAATTCAGCCTCCTACCAAACCATCTGTTTTCATCATGAAAAATGGAACGAATGTTGCCTGTCTGGTGAAAGATTTCTACCCCAAGGATGTGAATATAAGTCTCAAATCATCCAAGAAGATAGCAGAATTTGACCCTGCTATCGTCATCTCCCCCAGCGGGAAGTACAGTGCTGTCAAGCTCGGCCAGTATGGAGATTCAAATTCAGTGACATGTTCGGTTCAGCACAACAGTGAAACTGTGCACTCAACTGACTTTGAACCACTCGAAAATTCTTTTGGTGAGTACTAACTTAACGGAACAAGAACGGGAAAACTGGAGGAAAAGGAAGTGATCGGTGTGAACCCAGCATAGATCACTTTTGATTTACCATTGTGCCGGAAAAAAGAAGGTGCTCATCTCTGGCTAAGAAGCAAGCACTGTGCATCTCTCCTCTCATTTAGCCCCCATCCCTCATCTTCACTAACCGTAGTCTTTTTCATAGAAATGTCAGGCACCAAAGGTATCATTACTCCAACACAATCCCAGAATTCCACGGGATTGGAAATCCTTGTTCTTCCTACAAGTTAGAGAACATCTTGACGTTGTTCTGATGATGCCAAAGGTCCCAAACAGGAGGAATCCTGTCTTTATGAACAGTTATATAACCCTCTTGTTCTCAGTTTACCAACTTACTCTCCTCCTTTTGCCTCTTGGTTGCCAACATAATCTTGACCACTGTTGCTTTTTTTCTAGCTAATATAAAACCACCAGAAGAGGAAAATGTCACACACACTTCAGAGACTTGCCATGGCTCAAAAGGTTAGTTCAAATCAAGTGGTTAAAACAAATTCTGTCATTGTCACGGGAGACCTCAAAGCATCAAATTTCAAAAGAAAAAAAAACATACTGAGCCCAGTGGCCCACTGGTTCCCTTATCCTCCACCGCAGCAGAGCTTGCCATGCTGTGAACCGTACTTCTCAAACTGGCCTGTCTGGGTGGGCACGGGAGCCTGAGAGCCCACGGTGCTGTGTGGCACCATGCTGGGTGTGCAGGCCCACAAGAACCATTTGGAGCACATTGGTGACAGTTGTTGGCACTGTAGAAAGAAGTCTGGTCCTTCCTGAAGCCACTGTTTTACCTTTTCTGTATCGTAGTTCACACCAAGAAGGCAAACATGATGTCCCTCATGGTGCTGGGGCTCCGAATGCTGTTTGTCAAGAGTGTTGCCATCAATTTTCTCTTTACCGTCAAGTTACTCTTCTTTTAAGGTAAGAATTGGTTGCTTCGTATTCCCAGCTCCACCCTATTTTTTCTCAATATATGTTTTTATTTAAATTAGAAACATGAATGCTTCACATGTCAGTCCCAGCTCCCTCTCCCACCCCTCTTCCCTTGTCCCTCCACCAGTCCCCCAGCTCCCCACCCAATCCCCACATCATTCCCCAGGGAGGGTGAGGCCCTCCTTGGGGGGAATCTCTAAAGTCTGTCATTTCATCCAGGGCAGGACTTAGGCCCTTCCCCATGTGTCCAGGCTGAGAGAGCATCCCTCCATTTGGAATGGGCTCCCAAAGCTCATTCATAAACTATGGTTAACACTGATTTACTACCGAAGGCCCCTGTGATTTCTGTGGCCTCCTCCCTGGCACTAGATTCATGGAGTCTTTATAAAGTATGGGGTTTTTTCTGGGGGGGGCTTCGAGACAGAGTTTCTCTGTGACTTTGGAGGCTGTCCTGGAACTAGCTCTGGTAGACCAGGCTGGTCTCGAACTCATAGAGATCGGCCTGCCTCTGCCTCCCGAGTGCTGGGATTAAAGGTGTGCGCCACTAAAGGCCGGCTCCACCCTAATTTTTATGCTATAAATTTTAAAGGAGGTTTGGAAACAGTAGCAAACAAGGAAAGTATGGTGGTACAGTCCAATGATTTTAGCAATTGGGAAGCTGAGGCAATAGGATGAATGTGAGTTCAAGATCAGCTTGGTCTATATAGGGTCAAGCCAGCTAGGACTATTTAACAAGACCTTATTTCAAAAAGAAAGGAGGAAGGGAGGGAGGGAGAGAGACAGACAGACAGAGAGAGAGAGAGAGAGAGAGAGAGAGAGAGAGAGAGAGAGAGAGAGAGAGAATTGACTCTTCCCTGGGGGAGCTGGTGAAATTGCTCAGTGGCTAAGAACACTGACTGCTCTTCCAGAGAACAAGAGTTCAATTCACAGCAACCACATGACAACTCATAAACATGTGTAACTCAGTTCCAGGTATCTGATGCTCTCTTCTAGCCTCCAGAAATACTGCACACACATGGTTCACAGGTGTGCATGCAGGTGAAACACCCATACACACAAAAATAAAATAAAATAGTCCTCTCCATTATCTTTCCCAGTATATCCAAACGTTCATCAATTCTGCTCAAGGAATGACCCTAGATTTTGAGGTCATTCCCAAACGGGTATCTAGCCCCCACCTACTTCTTCACTCACAGTTCAGAGGTCACAGGCAGCACAGCAGTATAAAGATTGTTACCCTAGACACCAGAAAACCGAGCTTTAGTCCTGACCTTCTGACTAGATTCCTGATACCATGGCCAATTTGCTTATCCCCTCTGGGTTTGGGTTTAAGAATGGTTACAAGAAAGCAAATGGGTTTGATTACTATACTGACCAGCAGAACCACTGCCGTGCTAGCAACTGGCAAGTTCCACAATTGATTAACGACGTCTGTAGTGGTGCTGCATGGTAGATACCCGCCATCCCAAAATGTTATCACCCCTACAACCCCTTCCAGTGCTCAGGGTCTGTGATTCTGTAACAACTTGCCTTTACTTGCAGGATGGCTGGCATGAGGAGACTACAGTTCCTGAAAGAAAAGCTTACAAAGATGCTATATCCAAGGTTACCAACTCCTTAATGCTTCAAACTGACCCATCACCATGGCATCTAAATGGCTGCCAACAAAACCAGCTTTTCTGTGAAGGCAGCAAGCCTAGCTAATCATCCAGTCTAACTGAAAAGCAAAAGGCCTGGGGAGTGGGGTATGTGGGCCTGGCTTTACTCGCTGCCTTATAAAGGCATGGAAAGCTATGAAAACATAGACCTACTTTATTTTGCCCCTATAACTGGTAGGCTTGGAGAATGGTGTTCCATCCTTTGTTTACCCAGAACTAGAAAGTAGGGACCAGTAAATCACCAGCTTAATTACCCAGGAGGAAAATGGTCTTGGGAGAGAGAACATGTAGCTTTCTAGCTAAACATGGAAAGCTGGGCTCAGCCCACTCCTAACCAGCGCCGCCCTCCTTCTCTCCTATGGTAGCACCCCCTCCTCCTCTCCTGTGGTAGCGCCCCCTCCCCCTCTCCTGTGGTAGGCATGGCCCACCCTCTGTGCTTGCTCTCAGTCATGCAGGAGAGTTTTCCTAGCAGCACTGGGGTGCTGAACGACTTTAGCCCTTTGTGTTTCTCCTGATACTTTGCAATCGGCTTCCTTAATGCTCTCCAAGTAGGCAATAAAGCTTCTACAATCACATCTAATTATTCTCCACTCTGTTACCAAAGATGAAAGTAAAATACAGAGAGGAAGGACACCGCTTTCTGTAAACTGACTTCACCAGTTCAAACTGGCTGAGTCCCAGGCGCAGTACGGAGGGTGCAGAATTCAGACCTGTGCCCGGCCTGCCAACGACTCACTGTGCAAGTGTTTCGGAAGCTGGGACAGGAATGTGACCCCTGTAAAGGCAGCGCCTTTATTGTCTTTTGCGGGCCGGTCTGTGCCCGGGGCTTTTGACATCACTGGGCACAGATCCTTCCGCCTCGGTCCTTGATGCCGGTGCTCTCCTGCCTTTCTTCTCAGGCCTGCTTCTGTTGCATTTATTAATCTGCTCACCTCTACCTTCATTCATCGTGGACTACCAGGGGAAGAGGGCACTCAGCTCTGCTGAGCTATGAGTCGGTTGGAAGCCAGACTGACCAAGACGGTCACACCACAGCTTCCTGATCCGCAGGCCCGAGGTGCCTATCTAGGGGACTGGTTTCCTGCCTCTGTCAGAACAGCAGCAACACCTTCCGTGGCGTTCGGCTCTGTTAATCCCAGCTCAGTAAGGCCACAGCTTTATTGATATACCCACCGAGGTAGCAGGCTTAGCAACTCGGCACTGTGGTTTCCTCAGCTCCTATGAGATGCATAAGGCAGAGATCGTGGTGTGACACGGGAAAGAGCAATTATCACGGGCAATTCCATCGCCACCACAGTCTCCAAACCAAAGGAGAAGTGATGCTGGGAGTTATTGGGTTCAGGAAATCCAGATGGTTAAGCCAGTTCTACCCAGGGAACTGCAATCAGAGCATCCCACACTTCACCTGGTGTGTAGGAAGAGTGCCTAGTCCCAAGACACTCACTTCTGCTGCCTGGCTGTGACATCGGAGTGCTACTCTGAAGTTGCTGGAAAAGATCACATCCTCATTTTTCAGCTGGAACAAAACATTTGCTCTGCCTGCCTCACCCCCATGCCCCGAAGAAAATGTTGGTAGTTTGTCAAAAGTCATTCAGTGAGGCAGAGATATTGCTGGGAATTGAACCAAGGTCTCAAGACTGTTACTGTCCCATGAGCTCACTGCGTCACCAAAGTGGGGACGCTGTGTCAATCTAAGTGTCACTTCACTGAGCTTCAGGACTGCCTCTTGTCAGCTCTGACCAGCACGGCAGGAAAAATAAAATCCTACCACATGACGGGATTATAAATTGCTCCCACCATAATGAACCTCCCAATTTTTTAAATTAATATTTGTTAGTGTACAAATGGCGGGTTTGATTATAAGATTTTCCTACAGGCATGTCATTATCTTGTTCAGATCCAGCATCATCTCCATTACTCTCTCACATTCCCTCCCCTCCCACCGGTTATCTCCCTCCCTGAAGTTGTTCTCTGTGTGTGTGTGTGTGTGTGTGTGTGCGTGCGTGCGTGCGTGCAGGAGCCAGGAAAGATGTGGCTCCCTGACCTCATCTTCTCTGTTGCTCCACAGAGTGGCTACATCCACTCACTGTGTCTAAAGCACATGCAATCTTCTGCCTCGTAGGGTATAGCTGCAACAGAGTTCTAGAAGGACAGCATGAAGTCCCTGGCTGTCCTGAACCAGCTGAGACTGTGAAACTATGTCTTACTTCTGGGTTCTTCCATCCCTAGGGTTTTATCTAGTAGCTGTGATGGTATATGTAAGATGCAGACATCAATAGAGAAGTAGAGTAAGGTGAGTCCTTGTCTCAGAGACTAAAGGAGCATCTGTTTCAATATCACACGGCTAGCTTCTCCTGGAGAAAATGGTCTTGTCTTGGGACACCATTGAGCTCCACACTCAGCACCTTAGAAAATGTGTTTAGTTCTTAGACAACTGGCCAGGCATGTTCTTCAGCAAAGAGAGAGAAACATCATCCAAATGAAATAAGTAACATGGAGGCTTTGGGGAGCACCCAGCAGGAAGTACAACTAGACATAACAAGGCACAGTGAAGGTAAGATAGGGGTGAGTCTAAGAATCCACTTGAGTCTCAGAATGAAAGCTTACTAATACACGGTAATGAGTAAGCAATGGCAGAGATAAACTAAAAACAGTAATGGTAACGTCCTTGGCCTGGCACCTGCACCATTCTGATACCCTCACAGCAAACAGCACAGACATGAGGACAGAGAGAGTATTTCCTCAAGCTATAGTCCTCCACAGCCAACCACAGGCAAAGACCCAGTGAACCCGAAGTGAGATGCTCTGCTCCTTGGAAGCCAGAGTCCTTCCTGGCTATGACCAGGCTTTTTATTAGCAGTCACTTGGGGACTGGAATACAAATGACTGAGAAGGACGCCTGACAACCTGCCATGTGACTTCCTGTGGGAGGGGGTCACTGCCATGTGACTTCCTGTGGGAGGGAGTTGCTCCTAAACTGCGCACCGGGGTTTTAGGTACAGGCTTCCTGGGCACCCGCATCACAGTGGCACCTGAGGCACAGTAGTAAGTGCCACTGTCTTCAAGCCACACTGGACTGATCACCAGGTGGAAGGTTCTATAGGCCTTGCTGTGTTGCACAGAAAATCGACCTTGAACAAAATCTGCATTGTGGAATCTCGTGTTGTCCCTGTAAAGGATGAACTCAAAGGACAGGTCTTGCCTCTTGCGATACCAAAATAAATCTGGATTGGGAAAATTCCCTTCGTAAGTGCAAAACAGTGTTACTTGGCTGCCACTTGCCACTGTCTTGTCCGGGGAGCTCTGAGTCAATGTGATACACAGGGCACCCTTGTCTGTGAAGAAGAAACAGCACAGCGGTAGCTTCTGCATTCCCACACACTGAGCAGCCCAGAGGAACTCAATGAAGAACAGGGATGAAAGTGACAGTCAGAGAATGACTAGACTCGAAGAATGAAAGAAAAAGGGACCAAGCCTCTAAAGGTCAGAGAAAGGGGAACAGGACGCAGAGCAAAGGAAGGAAACCTCTTACAGGCAAACAAAAGGCTGAGAGTCAAGCCAAGGATCATCCTTTTGGTGAGGGCAGGAGGCGTAGCCTGGAGGAGGGCCGCCCAGGTCTGTTGAACCATCACTGGGCTTTGGACAGGAAGGAACCAGGAGGAAAATAGGAGAGGAGGCAGGCAGCCCCTCACATGACTGTCATGTGACTAGGTCAACTGAAACTGTAGGGTGAGAGCCTTCACAAGTGGCTGTTGCGGTCTACAGAAATGATGGTCTTCGTCTAGAACTGATGCTTCTGACGATGGAAATGAATTGCTTTAAAAAAATAAAAGGGTGGAGGGAGGACGGAGGGGGGTTGAGAAAGTGGGATAAGGGAAGGAAACTGTGGTCCCCACGATAGCAAGTTTTGGCATACTTAATACATAAAGTAACTCACTCTCCATGCCTGTGTTCTCTGATCCCAGACGGACACCAGTTCAGGAATCACTCTTCAAGTAGCCCTGTCTCGGGTTACCTGACATCTGTATATCCACCTTGCAGAGCTCAATAAACAGAACCAGTTAGCAAGTACCTGTGTAGTATGCAGTGTGTGAAATAAACGAGTAAGTCTCTTACTCCTCTGCATAAAGGTGGGAAGATGGTCGGACAATATTGTTTCTAAAACCTTTTCCCCGCTTGAGTCCTAGAAGTCCGATGCTTGCGGGAGGGGGAAGGGGGGGATGTGCTTGCTGACCCTGGCAGCATTTACTGTGCTACACCACATGACTTCCTGTCTCTTGGAACTGTCTACAGCCTACACTTGGTCACAGATATAAAATTACTGCCCTCAAAGAGAGCTTGCTGGCAGGTGAAATGCAATGAGAGAGAGCTACGAGCTTGTTGAGGCACTGTTCTGAGAAGCCCTGTATGCCTGCATGGCTGGAGCCCCTGAGCCGTCCCCTTCCAGTCACGTGCCTTGACAATATGGTTTTCCACATAAGCCGGGACACAGTATCTAGGAAGCACTGCTCTGGAGTCAGAAACACTAATTCACTCCTCAACCCCCACAAGTGTCTACAATGGCTCCTTTCCTCCCTTCTCCCTACACCTGCTTCATCAGTAAGACCTGTCAGTGCTTCTAATCACGAGCCCATCTCCTTCTCCCATCCCCACCGCCCGCTCATGCAAACACCATCATCTCTTACAAGGACCACTGCCAGGAGTCCTGACTGGTCCCCCTGCTTCTGCTCTTGTCTGGACCATCCATTTTCCACGTCTTTAGAATGCTAACTGCTCTTCTTTGTCTCTAAGACTCTGCAAATCTCTGGCCCTTGCCACCTTTCCAGCCTTACTCACGTGTATTCCTTGCTTTCTCAGTCTACCTCAGCGGGAATAGCCTTTCTTGGAGTCTAGCCATCTAAGACTCTGATCCTAATTCTTCATTAATGTCACTCAAGTGAAATGTCCCTGGTCACTCCACTTAGTTACATACTCACTACCACCCTGGATTATAGAAATTTTCCCTCACATTGCTGTCTGAAATCATCAGATGAAATCATCAGATTTGTAGTATAGATAGACAGATAGATATAGAGATGTATGTATGTATATATATTTAACTTCTTTCTTCAATCTCAACACGTACACACACACACACACACACACATACACACTCATGACCTAATGAAAGTATTCATCTTTTCACTGATGTGTCCCTAACCCCCAGCCTGCCTTTCAATAACCAGATGTTCAATATAGGAATGCTGTTCACTCGATGGTGGGGTACTTACCTAGCATACTGAGACTTTGGGCTCCATCTCCGGGGGTGGGGAAGAAAGGGAGAAAAGAAGAAAGGATGAGGGGTAAGAAAAGAGGAAAGAATCCACCCACAACACAAACTAAGTTGCCAGGTGTATCAAATAAAAATACAAGAGAGCAGTCAATGTTTACTGCAAATAAGTGACAGCTAAGATTTTACCAATATCTGGAACATGTTTGGGACATCACACTACATTTTTTAAAAAGTATTCATTATCTATCTGGAATTCAGTTTTCACTTGACTTCCTGAATTGTATCTGGCAACCATAGGCATGG